GTGTTCCTCCGGATGTAATCTGGAACCTCTAAGTGTGCTGTGTGCCGCGGGTTACATTTCTGGATGTTATGTAAATGTGTTTGTGTGTGTAGATAATATATTGAGAAACGTCGGTGTGGTGGAAAGAATGAATGATGTATAAAAAAAATACATATATATAAACTAAATTCCTATATATAGACTAGATCCTAGGCTACTACTAGGCCTATCCAATATAAGCGTAAACTAATATGAAAAGTAGTTATAAAATAAAAGCACCAAGTTCTCAGAAATCCCTGTTGCTATCGTTGCAAGCAGGGAATGTTGAAGATCAGGGCTTCCAGCCGTCGTGGTCATGGAGAACACCAGCAGCTCAGAAACTGACCCCAAGGCAGAAAGCAGGGGAGCTGAAAAACTGCTGCCTTTTATCCATTTTCTCTGGCCCTTCCCCAGAGCACTGGGATTGGACAGGACCTCAGAGAATGCTGACAGGTCACTGGCCAGCCACACATGTCAGTCATGAAAGCACTCCTTCCCCCCTCCCTCTCCCTCCCCTTACTTTCCTTTTTTTTTCCCCCACGGGGAATCCAGTATAGGCAAGTCGAATATTCGACTCGCACTGTTAATATTTGACTTCCGGTATTAGATTCGACAGCTATTCGACCAGCTGCTATTCGACTCGACTTTCACTTTTCAAGGTCGAATATGTCGAATATTTGTCGAATCAAATATTAAGTCGAAGCTTTACACAGCCCTACTCTACTGGCTCCCAGTCTATTTCCAGTTCATCATCCAACCTCACTCTCTACAGTCTGACAGGCCCCTACTCCAGGCCTCCCTCCATGCCCCGAGTTCTTGTTGGATGCCCCAATGGCTCTTTCCCACACCTCCTTACCAGCCTTTTTCAGTGTCCCTTATTCTGTCTTCCCCCCTTCCCTGGATCCAATTTTACTCCGTGGCTGCCAGTTCTAAGCCAGCTCCTAGCCTTAACCTCATTCCCACCCAGTCCAAATTTGGTCTCCATTGCCTGAATCCTGCTGGTGCCAGTTTACCTCTCCTACAAGCCTTCTTTTCCAGTCTTTATCAGTCTGCTTCCTCTGTTCCTTCCCATTCTGCGCTTCCCTCCCACCAATCTAGTGCTTGTTGTTTCAGAAGGAAATCAGGCATCCGGGTATCAAGTGAGTTGCCCAATCTGAGCCTCCTAGGACCAGCCTGGGTATCAGCTGAGGATCCAGGAGGGCAGCAGTGCTTGGCCTGGCCTGATGTGGTGTAGTCTACAGCACTCTAGAGCTGCACTTGCAGGGAACATCCCAATTAGAAAAAAAGATGGAGGGTGACAGAACCAGGGAAGAAGAAAAAAGGAACAGTTCATGTTTGTATGCCTGGGCGCTGTTCCTTTTTAAGTCTTTACAGGTGGCATTCAGATCTTAGAGTCTTGCCATTAGCAGCAATAGGACTCAGGTTAGCATCTCATTAGGTTCCCTTACTGTGGTTTCAATTGCATAAAGCATGTGTGGGCCTTTATGAAAGCCCTTGATAGAACTGTGGTATGTGACCTGGAAATGAGCTCACAGAAGTTCCTTTCTGGGTCTTGGCTGCTAAGATGCAGCCACCTCATCTGCCTGTTGGAAACTGCAGCTGCACTTCATCTTTGGAGTTTAATAGTTGCAGTAGCTTAATTCTGGGAACACAAATATTCTTAAGAGTTAATGGAATAAAAAATTGTGCCAATATGACAGCAACTGAACTGCCAAAAAAAAAAGAAAAAGAAATAAGATTACCATATGGACACTTGAGAGGAGCACACATGTCTCTTCCTTGTCCAAGAAATCCTTTTTTTTTTTTTTTTTTTAAAGACCTAAATCCACAGCTGTGGATTTACTTGTGAAGACACTGAATTTCTCACATAAATGATGACAAGCTCCACTCAAGTCCTTTTTTTATATAAAGTGAAAAGATTGCTTTAAAGTTACTCCTGAAAAGCATCTAAAGGCTTTCGTGCTGGAAGATAGTCCTTTCGGTTTTTTTTTAAAAGCACTTACTAAAACATTCTAGCAGAATGTAGATAGTATATTTCTTCATATCTTTTCAATGGGCAGAGTAAGTATCTTTTTCTTTTTGGGCTGATCAGTATCAGATATTTTCCCAGAAAGGTTCAAACTGTTGTTTGTAAGCATATAGCGCATGCAGGGACCTTGGAAGTGTCTTTCGGTGAAACTGCAGTAATGGAATACGTAACCATAGCAACCCTAAAGACTAGAGGATTGCTGTAGTCATGAACTGGGTATAGCTTAATTTTCATTCCCAACTGCCTATCCCTTATGCTGGTGGCTTTGTAAACTGACGTTACAAATGTGTTGGTTAATTCCATTGTCCTCTTTGACATGTGGAATATATAGAAAAAGGCAATTGAGAAGATGGATGAACATGTTCATTAGTGTGCCGTAGTTACTGTGCATTAAGTTGAGTAGTTGCATAACCAAGTAGTAAATCAATGTGTAGTAACTGGTGCTACCCACACACTAGCGATGGTGCATGACTTCTTAGTGATGCTCACTGCATAGTAGCCTAATACTCCTGCACAGTAGTGTATTAGCATGGGTTTTGCCCTGCATGCTACTGTACAGTAGAATTAGGCTACTGTACCATTAGCATCTTGTGTATAATACCCAGTATGTATTATACTTGAAATGATTTGGACACTACTTATAACTACCTCTTCATGTGATTTGTCCAAGCCTTACATTTTGGTCCTGTTCATCAGAGACCACTGTCTGACAGTCTCTAGTAAGAGAAAAGGTGAAGGGAAGCAGGAATAAAAAGTCTTCAGGGGAAAGCAGTATTCCATATATGCATATTCTCTTGTAAATACTGATGGCCAAATGCTTTACAATCCTATAACTGCTCTCAAGCCTTTGTAAGCTGTCAGGTATTTATTTACATTTTTGAATGAATTTAGTGCCTGGGAAGGGGAAGGGCAAATTGTACCTCCTATAGCCAAACCATAGTAAAGGTAACAGTTGTGCAAGATCCCTCACAGTTTTGCCTGCACATCTGATTCCTGAACTGCAGTGCTCCTGCTGCTCTTGTTAGAGGCCTGTCCTCAGTGAAGTTCCAGTTATGCTGCAGAAAAAAACTGAATGCACAAGTTCTTGAATGCAAAATATGTGACTGGCCCTAACGTCTAGGGCAGAGTGTACATAGGAGTCACAGGGCTGGTCTGTACTACCAAAGCACTGGCAGTGGTACTGTACCAGGAAAGCCCACTGGTAGAGATGCAGCTTATACCAGCAAAAGAAGTGGCTCTAGCAGAAGAGAGAAACCATTTTCTTACGTACCGTGAGGTACATGGACTCCTTGTTAATAGGAATTAACTAAACTGTGGAGGTAGTTTCGTGAGAATCTCTCTTCTGCCTATCTCCCAACTGACACTGCTTGACTGTAAAAATTTGGAGTGTTGACTTGGCAACAGGGCATAGTGGGGCTCAGAACTGATCTGGGCAATTGGGTAAGCAGTTTCAAGGCCAAGTGTTTGACTCACTCCTTTTTGGTGATCTAAAGATATACAAGTCAACTGCAACTTCTTTGAAGCATTTTGGTTATACTTGCATCAGTCCATGCCTGTTACTGGAACCTGCTCATTTGCTGTAACTTCATCTCTTCACAACATGAACTCTGTTTGCTATGGCTCATCTAATATACAACAAGCATTAGACTGTTGAAGCTGTACAAAAAGAATAAAATAAAGTCAAGGGCTCTGAATATGTAGATGCACTATTAATCTGCTCTTTTGGTGTTTCTAGCTGAAGTAGCTATTTCTATTTTTACTGGGTAGCAAACAAACAAAACATAAACAAATGGGCAGAAAGCAGCAATGTGGGTGAAACAGTCCTAGAAAAGACCTGGTGAAAATATCCTGTTTTCTCCTACTGAGTGAAGTTTGGCCCTTTAGCTTGTGGATGTAAGTGTAACCTTCCATCTTGCAACATGGAAGATTGTATTGTGTATGGGCAGGAGGAGAGGCCAGAACCTTGATTAAATCCTTACTTTTGTTATATATTAACCCCTCCCCCCAAAAAGGTAGCTGCATTTTTGCCAATCACAGTGGGCACATTAATTCCACCATCCCTGAAACACCTCTACGCACTCTTGCCATCTTATTTGGGAGAAGTTTCCCATTACATTCTGCAGTCACTACATTATCCTCCTTTTAAATCTTCCCTTGTAACTGCTATGTATGTGATGCCTACAAAACCCTTGACAATAGCTAACAAGCTGTGGTGACAAGCCACCAGCTGAGTATGGTAGTCAGCTCACTGAAAGCTTATGCTTTACTTGTCTGTATGCAGGGGTCTGTTTTTGTAGGCTCACAGTGGAAGCTCTTTGGGGCAGAAATAATTTCGGTGTATATGAACAAAATTGTAACAGGGCAGCAATGGCATGACAAAATCACCAGCAGGAGCAGCTATTTTTGTGCCCTTCCCCAGCTGCAATGCTAGCACCCAGGGCTGCTGCCCCTGTTGTCTCCCATTAGGTACACTACTGTGCATTGTACCTAGTACAGTACTACCTGGGTTCCTAGCTGGGGTTACAGGTACTGGTGCTTTTTCAATCGGTAATTGGTTGAGGCTGCATGATTTCTGAAAATGAAATATTAGAAGAAAAGCAGGATTTTAGAGATCTTTTCCTAGCAGCATGTATTTCTTATCTCAGACTTTAGGCACTCGTATTTGTAAAGGGCTAACAAACCCCAGCGATATGGAGGACTGCGTTAGTAATCTCATCAGAATCTCAGTACAGCCCATTTCACATGGGGATTTGTGGGTGGTTGGTTGCTGTGAACAGACAATTATGAGACTTCAAGCTTTGTTTTGCCCCTAGGAGGTTCTGGGATTTTAAACAAAAGCAACTCTACAGAAGAGCAGTTAAGTGTATTGTAAAACCGAATAAGCCACTTTCCAACATTGTTATCACCAGTAATTGCCAAGTCATTTTTCATGTACTAACTAATTTTGTTACAGATTGATATCCTTAAGGCAGATATGGAGAGTGCTGAGTGGAAAATTTTGGAAAACCTGATCCTGGAAGATATTGTTGAACAGATAGGACAGCTGATCTTTGAAGTCCACATTCATTGGCCTGGATTTGAGGTTAGTGGCAACGACAGCACTGTGGTTCGATACTGGTACAGCCTCCTCAAAGAATTAGAACTGAAGGACTTCAGGCTCTTCCATACTTACAAAGACTTGTCTAAGCCACAGATGTTTCTGAAAAAGGAAGCCTTCAATGCAAGTAGCTCTTATATACTAAGCTGGGTAAACACAAGATGGAAATAGCAGACAGGAAGTTATGACGTGCAACTGTGATTCATTCTGCTTAGTAGCATTATTGAAGATATTAGAGCAACTGGTTAGTTACTTAACTTGCATACACTGGCTCTACTAACAAAATGAACTTGTTCTGTTCCTCATCAAAAAATGGAACAGAAGTTAGATGCTGTACTAAAGGACGAAAAATCTCTTGTATGGCATTTCACCATAGGTTGCACTGTTAGATACGAGGGAGAGGTATTTTAAAATGGTTTGTTTGAAGTGGTTAACAGAATTAATTTATGAGTCTGCACACATGGCTGAGAGTTAATTCCTGCCTTCCCAAAGCACATTAGGGAGAGAGAATCCCTGCTGGGTAGTGAAAATTCCTCTTCGAGCATTGTCTCAGCAATTAATACAACAAATGGCAACACATGCTGCTTAAAAACTTTTCATGGATGAACAGAAGTTACTTGTGCTGGCTTTCCCTTAAGTGACTGTATTTTTTTAAACAGTACAAAGTCAGTCAAAAGTACAGCAATGGTTGTGAAGGCTGTTTTTTCTTGCGGGAAGGTATTATTTAAAAGGGACTGCAACTGGAAACTAAGTCAGTATGGGCATGGAAATATAGATTTAAAAAAATGCTACACCTGCCTGTGGATGTAACTGTATTCCCCCTTCACCCCTGCTTATACTCTTTGGCCCAAGTCCATCTTGTGCACTACTACGACCAAGTCTAAATGAGCCAGCCAGCCTTTCTGGTCTCTCAGGAGTGCAACTGCTGGATGCTACAGACTTGGGCAGCACACATTAAAATGCCCAGGAAAGTCACTCTGCTCCCTTTCTCCTCCTTCACTCTCCACCTCAGATTACCAGAAGCACAACACAGGAACGTACATTTGTTTATAGGTCTGGCCAAGGATCTCCAATACAATACATTTTTGGAAAGTCAAGGATAGGAGATGGTTAAAGCATTTGTGTAAGGATTTTTTTTACATTAAACATTGTATTACTTCTTAATACAAGCGGTTTCCATTGATTTGTTACTCCTTTAACCTTCTTAGTTTCCCCCATCTGTTCCCTCCTACTTCTTTCCTCAGTTCCTTACCTTGCTTTTAATCTTTCCTTTTCCCCATATTTTACTCTGTCCATTTAGCTCTCCTTTTTCCCCTCCCATAATCCAATTTTATACTACCTCCTACTCTCCCCACACCCTCCACAAAATTCCCATTCTCCTGGTGTACTTCATACTGCATGTGTGGTACCAGATATGCCCACACATGCTTTGGCTACTTGCTGAGCTAATATACAACTCTCCTAACAATTCTATATACTGCTTGAATTGGATACTCAACTCCACAGTAACCCCAGGACCATTAACTACTGTCCTCCATGTACATTGTTTATTCTTCTACACCCTTCTGCTTCTCCCACCTTCCTCTGCCTTTGGAAGCTCCTTGTCTTCATGCCAGCAATAACAGTCTCCTCTCCTTTACTTGGCTCTTCCTCCTAGAACCAGTCAGTAGCCTGATGAGTCCCAGTGTGGTGGATCACCTTCTTCTCCTTTCCTTTCCATGTTGCACAGTGCTATCTCCCTTATTTCCAATCTCACTGGGAACATAGGGACCATAATGAAAGAAGCAAACACCCTGAATATGTCCATTACAGAATAATGTGTCTATCGCAGAGAAGCCTCTCAGTGAAAGATTGCCTTAGGCTCTGATGCATTTGTGTTTACACCCCTACCTAAAATTTAAAATAAAGCTTTATTTGCTGTACAGTCAGAGCGGAATCCTGTTTATCCTTTTTGTTTTTCTTTAAATTTTACTAAATTCTTTGTCACGATGTTATTCAAATACATTATGCAGCTTTATGGTTTATTTTCTACAAATGCACTGAAAAAACCCTCTTCATGTGTGGGAGTAGTATTTGAGCTACCTGGTCTTTCAAAAAAGGAAAAATAAGATTAGAATACTGCATCTTCCTCCTACTTGCCTTTTACTAGTTTGTCTGAAGGAGTCTCTAATACACACCCAGAAATGTAACTCTTTTTATCTCTTATGTAAATGAGTCTGGACAGCAAGGAGGCCCAAGTTTCTAGATTGCAGCCTCAGTACTTGGTTTTACTTATTACAGGCACTCTTCAATTTCCCTGAATCTAGCCCACATCCAAATAGCAGAGAAATCATTCAGAACAAGCCTTGGAACAAGTGCCTTTAAGTGCATGCTGTGGTTAGACTGGTCTCCCAAGAACTGCACCAGTGGGAAAAACACTATAATTAAAACTGCTCAGGCTGATTTTCCAGTATCAAGGAGCTCCTTTCTATTGGAGACAATCAACCTTGACTGAGGGACTGCTGATATATATGTTGTCCAATAAGATGCTTTAGGGTTGGTGCAGTGATTCTGAAGTAGAGTGCCACGCAATATTAATGCTGTTAAGTGTACAAACATCTACTTGCTATTCACATGATAAACCCAGAGATTTCCAACAAGAATCCATAGTGTCTGAGCTGCCGCGATCTTTCTGAGTTCTTTGCAATGAAAAAATGTCTGTATTATTTTTCCATAGTTCAAAATTGAGAGGATGTCAGCTTTTGTTTCAAAGGAAGATTTGAACCCCCCCCCCCAAAAAACACACACAAAATCAGCATTCCCAGACAAATCAGACTTCCCAAACTATTTCTTAGTACAATGGTTACATTTAATATACTCTGAGAATATTTGAGCCTCCATTTTTTCAGACTGGGATAGTAATAACACCTGGATTTAGCCTGAGTCAGTGTTTAAAGAGGGAAATATTTAGACACTTGTACTGCCCAGTCTCTTCAATTGGAATGGCTTTAGGGTAAATAGTGTCAGGGTAGTAGTTTGAGAGCAGGAACTAGAAATTATAAGTGAACCATGTAACCTTGTTCAAGCATCACAGTAAAGGTATGCACAAGTTTAAGGACTCTCATTTACTGCTCTGAAAAAACCAGCAGCCTAGTTACGGAAGTGGACTGAACTTATAGAAATGGATTGAGTGTACACCAGACTTTTTTTAGACTACGTGGAGATAATTTTTTGGTTGAGATTCCCTAATAAAATGAAGAGTGGCTTGGACAGTAACAGAAACACTGGGTTTCGTGCTAGAAGACTGGCAACTAGTGAGTATTAATGAGATCCTACCCAAGATGCCAGACTCTTAGCACAGTGGAAGTAGTAATACACTTTTGGGAAGAATGTGGGCAAATGTAGTTTCCTACAAATCTTCAGGTCTTCATCTTCAGTGTCCGTGGGTCTGCTTATAGCAGCAATACACTTAATGTACAGCAAGCAGACTCTGCCGAAGCTGTATAAAAAGAATAAAATAAAGTCAAGGGCCCTGAATATGTAGATGCAATATTAATCTGCTCTTTTGGTGTTTCTAGCTGAAGGCTGAAGTAGCTATTTCAATTTTTACTGGGTAACGAACAAACAAAACATAAACAAATTGGCAGAAAGCAGCAATGTGGGTGAAATAGTCCTAGAAAAGACCAGGTGAAAATATCCCATTTTCTCCTACTGAGTGAAGTTTGGTACTGTAGCTCGTGGGTGCGAGTGAACCCAAGAAGAGCTTGGGGCTGGTATTTAGGTCCACCCATCCCCATTTCATCAGTCTATTTCACTTGGAGGTAAATCTTAGGAGAATGAAAGCCCCCCAAAAACCTTTCCGTTTGCTGAGCATTGACATAACAAATACTTTTATTTGAAAGCGGTTTTTAGATTACTGTTCCACTGATCACATGGAACAGAAATCTAGGAGAAGCCACTCCAGGCAAAGTGCATTACTTTGCCTGACTCTGCTCCTAAAGGGCAAATCTATAATAGAGTCAGCAAGGTACCAAGTGATGACTATAGAGCACAACAGGTTGTCATTGTTCTAGCCTTGTGGGTTTCATGTTTCAGTGGAGGTAAGTGTATTTGAGTACCTGATTTAAGGAGAACTACCTATTATCTTACAGTAGCAAAGGGGCTTATTAAGAGAACAGTTCATGGCTTGTTTTTCTGGAAGTGTGTAATTACAACTTCAGAGCCTTATAATGCTGTTCCTTTTACTTCAAAGTTTTGTTTTGCATTAGTAGTGCCCTGATATAATTTGTTGGAATGACTAGTTATGCTGAACACTGGTTTACAACTTAAAAACATTCAGTTCAACATAGGAATGGCTTGTGTACTGAGCTGGACAGTGCAATATTTGCTGCAGTCATGCCAAGTAATAACTACCCCTCAATAAGACACCATCTGAGGATAGACAGTTGTGACAGCAAATAGTTAAATCTATGTGCAACCTTGTCACAGGTGTATAGTGGAGGCCTAGCATGTGTTTTTGGATTTTGTAGCTTACTGCTGTTCTTATTGTGACTTGGTAAAAGTAGTGTTAGTATGTTCACAGAAGACTGTGGTAGAGACCTTAGGATAAAGCTAGTCAGTGAGAACTGTCCCACTTCAAACCGTGCGTCTTATTTGCAGGGTTTAAAATCTGTCCAGGGAAACCAGAAACAATTCTGCTGTTCTGTTTCTCTTCAAACTTGCAATTGATGCTCATACAAAGTGAAAGACTCTTGAACAAGTCTGTCTTGTGTTGCCTGGGTCCACACAACCAGAACAGACCCCTCTCAGGACTTGAAGAATCAAAGTACAAGGGAAATGTATACAAAGGTACAGGCTGAACTAGCAGCAGCTATTAATGCTGTACCTGTTCTGTTACTTTGCCAGATGCTGTTTCAGAGCTAACAGAAAGGGCCAAAAACTCTTCTAAAGCAAGAAGTGACCACCATCAACAAGGGGGGGTGGAGGAAAAAAAAGGGGGTCCTATAACCAGAAAACCTAGTATTTAACTTTTAAAAAGTAGATTTAGTATAACTTGCTCTCAGTGGATCCAAAGCCAAGTTCAGTATATAGCTTTGGAAGTCTTACCATTTTTCTGGGAGAGGAACTCCTGAATTAACAGAAGTATGATTGAGAGAAAATTTCATCCACAATCAAAACTGAAGCCACATCTGAATTTTTTGTTAAATTTATATGAAAAGCATGACTTAAATGTAATTGACTCCTGTTTACCTTCTGTCCCATTTTCTTGGAGAAGAGGAGCTTGCTGTGGAGAAATTGAACAGACATAAGTTCATCTCCATTTTGGCCTTGTTTGAGAACTTCAGCAAAAAGTACTTGCCTTCTATTTTGTCTGACAGCTTTTTTGGATTTCGACTGCAACTCCTCCACAGGAAGTAAACATTGAAATGTGTCTGTGCTGACAGGTGGAGCCTAGAGAGCTGAGGGTCAAGTGCTGCATGAAGATCTTGAGGCAAAGATCCTCAAATTAACCAAACTAGTTTGCTGTGAGAGTCAGGGCTCATTTACAGGAAAAGGTTATACTGACAGCAAGGAGTTAAACTGCTATAGTTATTCTGGAATAACTCTTGGATACTTATGCCAACACTTATATTCTGTCAAAGAATACATAAGTTTGCTTTGGAAATGATCTAATGTAACCAGGTGATTGTTTTATTCTAGAACAAGTATTTAAATTACGCTGGTATAACTACAATGCTGCAGTCATGCCAATGCAAGTAAGAGCTTTTCCCAAGTAGCAGTACTAACCCAGCACTCCAGCTGAAGGTTGCCAAATTACAGACAGACCCCTCTTTAGCAACTCTGTGTTGTTGAAACTAGTCCCCTTATAGCTCATGCTGTACACCCCAGCTCTCCAGAGCCTTGAAGAAAATCAAGCTCAATTCCTTGCGTCACTTTTTATGACACACTACACTAGGTACACGTCTAACAATCTTTCAGTTCTTATTTTGGACAGCAAATCAAGTATATGTTAGATTTTTAACTTGTACTGCAAGAGACCATGAAGATTAATATTGAACTGTAAAGTAGCCTCAATATGCTTAAGCCCCAAATGTTACCTGGAAGAGTGACACACCTTTTCAAAGGTAGATATTTAGAGCAGCTTTCTAAAATTTGACTTGGCCCTTAGCCAAGTTCAAGGGTTTAAAAAAAAAAAAAAACTTTAAAAAGGCTCTTGGTATGATTAATTGGTACAAGGGAAACAAGGATCAGAAGAAAGAGTCAGTAGATTTCAAAACAAGTCTGAAAAGCTGACTTAAAAACACAATGAGACAGATGCTCAATTCTAAACAAAAAAGTTATGTTCAGCACTTTGTAGTAAACTAAATCCAGTGAGAGTAAGAAGCAAGCAGCTCCATTCTTACAGTCTAGTAATAGTTTTCAGTACATGATGGATATCAAGGCCATCTTCTTCAAGGGAGGAAGCCCTTTTACCAGCAAGTTGCATGGGAAGATGTGGAGGCTGGGGGTGGGGTAGAAATCCTATATGAAGAGAGAAACCCAAGGGACTTGGCACAAGACCAAATCCTGATGGAAGAGCTCAGAGGATGTGATCTATGTAATGTGGTGGGACATGGGATCTATGGGACATGTTCAGGTCTATGCAAAATTCTCACTGGTATCCTATCAGTATCTTGGGTTAATGGCAATATATTGATCATCATATTCCTTTAATTACAAGTCATGGTAACTGCATAGGTCAGGTTGTAAGTTCATTAGGAACACATGCTTCAACAAGTGGTCTGTCAAACCCACTATGTTCTTTAGATTTTTTCCTAAGCTACTTTCCCTTGAACTTTATTTATCACCCAAGGTTCAGCTGAAAGGCTTCAGAGTTGTCTCCGGCCTATTGCAAAGTACAAAAGGTAAGATAACTTGGGAGGTAGGGAGTATCAATAAATATTT